AAGCTATAGGTAATATTTATTTTAAAAATAGTAGGGCATCAGTTTTGCCAATTAGTGTAGTTGCTTATCCAAAATAATTGTCCGAGAGGAAAATTGAAGTCGACAAAACATCTGCTAATTTCTCACAGTTCGTTTTTCCTTAATATTAATTAGAACTGAACGTAGAACCCTGTAAATTCGTACCAAATAACAACAAGGCCAACAATAATTACACATTTGAGTGTTTACAAATAAAACTATACCAGTACTGCAGTTAGCAGGAAATACTCTTAACGCCATGGTCAGGAAAAGTAATACTTTACGGAAAATAAAGAACATTTACGAGATTGCAGTAAGAATTGGCCGAAGCTACGGACTCGTTGCGGATAGATTTGACTTTTAGAAGTTGTACGTGTTGCCTAAACGTCAAGATGCTTCAGTTATCAATGTTTGGCTCTGATATGATGTAGAATCTGTTTCAGAGATGGCGCTATTGGAGATCTAAGCTGTTAATTGTATACTATAGCTAAAAGTGAGGATTCATGTGCTAATAATTAGTATGTGTTGATGATAGTTCCATTGGTTTATTGTCACAATAAATTTGTTGAACTTCAAAAATGAGACAGATACGAAAAGAAAATCCCTGGAAAATGTGAGAAAATATGCTACAGACACGAATACTCGTGAAGTTGGAAAGATGACTACACTATTTTTTATTTACACTCATTTAAATTTTATAGAAATTTATTTTACGATATCAATAAAAAATACAACCTATTGCCTAGATGTGAGGCATTGCGAAAATGTATGATGTGACATGCACCCTAAAGACTAGGTACCTAGTTTGCAAGATGACATTTTGTTGTTTTTTTTTTTCGACATTATATAGGTTTTTTACATAATAGCCGTGCCGGCAATGTTTTTGTAATCAAATTACCAAATTATTGGAATCCTACTTAATGTAATATAAAGCAAGTAATGTAATCTGCTGCAATGCGTACACTTTCGTCAATCGTTTTTTCCTGATTTTGTCGCCTTTCTGATGAGAAATCCACGTCAGGTAAGTACCTATACATTGCAAACAATATTGCCAGAATAATATAGTCGAGATATTGCTGATGTATCCGAGATATATGACCGGGCCACAAATATTGCCCATTTAGCAGCGACATAAAGATCGGCCTATATGGATTCCACGTCTCAGTACTTCTTTTAAAAAAATACTCTCACGCATTACGTAAATTCACATTTTTCCTAGCTACTGAGCTCGAAGATTCAGAGTTATTTGGAACTTTGTGCGGCTCATAGGCTGATTATAGGACAAAACAAATCGAAACAACTGAATGATTATTGGGCATCCGCAACCGTTAACTTGTCAACCACAAAGACTAGATGTAGGAGATTAAACTGCCTAAAAGATGGCAAGTGTTTGTATAAAGTCAATAATGTCGTTAAGGAGGGCGGGCTCGCGGAAATTTATATGCACGTGAGAGATGCAAACATAAGAGAGATGCCACGTGCGCAGAACCTGATATACATTTCTGACGCAATAACTATAGTAGATGCCCGCCTTCATTCTCGACACTTTTGGCTTCATCCCCACTTCCACAGAAACTATGTGAACGTTTTTAGATTTTCGGAATGATATATGCGTATGACAGGATAGCAATTGTAAGCTTATTTTAGCTGCTAATACTACATTGTGGAATGGTATGCTCATATTTTCTAGTAGTGATTTCCTTTGCTTGAAAGTTCCTATTTGAGGGCAATATTACTCTACCTTCAGGCGCTAGATTTTCTCCAATCTGTTTTGCAGAGGAAAAATGGAAAAATGACGTCATGCATCATTTAGATTATGTTCGAGATATAAAATCGACCTACATAAACTATATTTCTAACACAGGCGAATAAAATTCCATAATTTTTTGTTTTTGCTTGTATAAATGAAAAGTGAAATGAAAAACGAACAAATTGACTATGCATATATTTAGCAGAAATAGATTATGTTAAGTAGACTTGTCTATATAAAAGGCTCAAATTGAATCGAAACTTAGTTGGATTGCTTCACTTGCGTAAAGATTATTTCAGGATGAATTTTTGCTTGCACATTCGCCATATTTGTAAATATGAAAACCATGTTCCTGTTTAAACAGTAAATATATGGATATGATACCGAATTCACAACAATTACAAACCCTCACTTTCTGCAACCCCAACCTCAATTTTTACCCATTCACCAGAAAATAAGCTGGAGCCTCTACAATACCGAAAAACGTCATCTGAGCGATTTTTCTTACATCTATTGCTGATATTTTCAAGAACAACAAAACTTTTCCTTCCCTGGCGGAGTAGCAACTTTATTTCAAAATTTCACCAAAATCCAAGTTGTGCTTTTTGAGTTATAGAGAGGTCGAGGATTAGCTACTCCCATTCTTCAAATACCTTTTAGGTCTGATACATTCATAATATGCAAAAAGTGTATTCTTGCCGATGTCTAATCGCTCTCTCCATCTGAATGAAAATTCCTGCCCAAAACCTGAAACCCCCCACCTACCATTATTTACTCAAAAGAATTCCTCAAATGAGCAGAAGTCTCTAAATCGTCAAATAATATCGAAGCTTAAGCAATTTTTACTTCTAAAATTTACTACCCGTGGCCTAGCCGTCTCTGAATCGATATTAAAAAAGTATAAATGCTTTGTCGTTCTAGAGTCTAGACATAGTAGTAACCTCGTGTCAAAATTTCATTAAGTCCTAGGGGTACTTTAGAGGTTATCGAAGAAACATGGTTTTCGATTTTTTTGCAATTACAACGCCGGCTAATGTGGCAACCAAACAACATAGGAAGATGTTTAAGAACGTACCCTACCAGCTTCCTGTCTATACATATATTTTAGACTCGTGACATGGTTTCTCTTCAGGGATAGGAGGAGTTTTATTTAGGATAGCATGTTTACCTGTCGAAGTATATTTATTATTCGCAGATTTTGAAGAAGCTCAAAAAATCGTAAAAGAAAGTCTCTCTAGAGGTAAGTCCAGATCATGAAATTCGTCGCTCCAGAAAAGCGCCAGATGACCTGTACTCGTAAATGCCGAGATTAAAACTCATGGTTCAGCCTACGTGTCCAGGATAAGTGAAGGAAATCGGAAAGCTGCCCGATGAAGTTGGTAGAGAAACGTTAACTCCTGCTCTAGCTAAACTTCAGAGGCTTAACTTTTCGGGACTTAATGAAATGAAGCCAGCGGCTGCACTAGCGCAAAGTGGCAATAAACGTGAGCGAAAAGTAAATCCATAAACGCTACTCGAGTCTCCTGATTTGGAACATCTGCACGTTCATGCCTAAAATTGCTGCTCTGCCTTTTTGGTTTTATGAAAGCGCAACAGCGACATGGTTTGGAAAGGATAACCGAATTATCCTCGGAGTTATCCCTGAAAATAGTGGATTTAAAATCTAGAGCTGACTCAGTGTCTTCTATTCCTCACTATTTGTTGCAGTGATAGAGAGCATGAGGAATTTGTTAGATTTTTTTTTGTATGGTCTGCAGATTATTTACGTTAATATAACACCATAAACTTATACAAGTATTTAATCCATGGGAACGTCTGTATTTATTTTTGATTGAATATTGAAGCTGCAATGCTAATGAGGTTAATTTGTACACCCGCGACATATCGTTTGATTGTCTTTTTAGCTAATTTGTCGGATTTGGATATAAAAATATCCTAAAATATTAATTATAAAGAAGAAGCATGCCTGAAAACGGAAACCATATTGAAGTATACAGGAAGATGCACAAATCGTGACCAAAAATAAAACAACATACACGGGACCGCATTTTAAGGGGGATCTTCATCAAAAAGATACGGGACGGGGCTGAAGTTTAAAAATAAAAAACATTTTTTTTAATAACTTCAAAACCTTCAAGTGGAATGAACTAAAATTAAGTAAGTGAATTTACCGACGTATTGTTCACATTCAAAAGTCTTTACTGAAAATTAACGTGCACCAGTGGTGGAGATACAGGGGATTAGTGGCAATATTTTCCAAATAAAAATAGTACGCCACTGTTTTTTTTTCCGAATTTTACCTTCAATTTGTTACAAATAATTACTTTGTTGTTTTTTTCCTAGAGTGCATTGTTTTCTTAAAAATGAAAAAAACAAATTAGATAGTCAAAGCTTCATTTAAATCAGAGTTCCCCAAACTTTTTTGTGTCGTAGATCCCTTGCCATGTTTTTCCGTGTTGGGTAGACCCCCTACTTACCTGATATTGATTTCCTGTAAATTTCTAACTGTAGTGAAGTTTAGTGTTAAAAACTTAAAGTAAAAACACATGTTAATTTATACATTTATTAATTGAATTTAAATTAAAACTACTCAAAATAAAATTTTGTATCTGTTATGTAAAATATACGTAACATAAAATAAACAGGTGTCTGACCAATAAGTGCCCGCATTGGAAATAAGTGCCCGCATTGAAAAAAAAAATAAGAGGGATAAAATAAAAAAAAAGTGAAAAATAATAAAAAAAGTTAAAATAGTACAATAAGGTTTATTAATTATAACATAAACGTATGTTCTACAATAATTTCACTGTTAGTTTGATTAAATTCCGCTTCTTATACGTTTAAGTTATTTAAAAATGGGCAAAAAATTAACGAATTTTAGTGTGTACCTATCCTTGAATTTTCAGAATAATTTAAAAAAAATATGTTCTATATAGGGGGGTTCTTTAAAAAAATCATCGCGGGCACTTATTCCCAATGCGGGCATTTATTGGTCAGACACCAATAAACATAAAATAAACTATAAATAAAATAACATAAGCAATAAGTCAATATTTTTAGTGAGAAGGATGAACCTGATGCTTTAATAATAAATGATCAACATTTGGCGTCAATTTTGTAAGGGTTAATCTTAAATCTCCTCGGCTAATGATGTCCAGTTTGTTTCTTTTTTTCGTTAGGAGATTGGTAACAGCGTTGAAATTAAAAATTTCCTCGCTATATTCCATAATACGGGATAAGTAACGGGTATGTTGTTTTGCAGCCAGAATTGCTGATATCCGTTTTTAAACTGAACCTTAAGTTCTTCGTTTGTACTTAGTTCAGTCAGTTCCTCTTGTATTATGACATTCGTTTCTTCTATGTCACCATATGGATTAATTATCCACGGTGGTATTACCATAGTCAAAATATCCTCAAACCTAGATTCAAAATCTGAATAGAGGGCATTTAAATGTTGAACGTAAGTTGAAACGTCGTCTTCCTGGGAGCTTGTCTGTGACAAATTGGGGAACTGAGAAAATTCGCCCGTCCAATATTTTGCTTCATTAGTTTAACTCTGGCAAGAAACGCTGATAAGATGGACTTTGTTTTAATCAAATTTAAACAGTCGCCTTGTAATTACAAATTAACCATATTAAATTTTGTAAACAAATCTGTTAAATAGGCGATGTCTGTTTTCCTCTTCATTAAATTTCCTTTTAAAATTTTATCTTTAGTATCCAGAAATTCTAAAATAGTCTCAAAAAGTGCAAAAAATCTTGTCAAACATAAACCTTTCGACAGCCAGCGTACTTCAGTGTGAAGGAGTAATTGATGAAAGTGTTCGTCATTTTCTTCACACAACTGTGCAAATAACCGCGTATTCAGGAGATTGCACTGTAATTATATTACCGATTGCTAAAACTTTCACAAAGAAACTATTGAGGAGTGTACTCGCGTAATTTTGCATGATTGAATATTTAACTACTAATAACTAAAGTCATGATTTTCGTAATTTATCTATCTTTGCTAACTACGAGTACAAAACTAAAATTTAATAAAAAGTAATGTGGTACTTTTATAAATAATGTATATGTTTTGATATTATAAGATAGTATGATGTCATTTCATGGACCCCCAAACTTTTTTTCGCTGACGTAGACCCCTTGCAGGTTGTCATAGACCCCTAGTGGTCGATATAGACCACTTTGGGAATCAATGATTTAAATGAATGTTCAAAAATCTTTCGCGTTGACTTTTACAAAAAGAAATGGTAGTAGTGACGATAAAAACCGTATAACACAACTAACAATCTCCCAATAAACGTCTAGTTGATATCAAGGCGTTCTATTTGATTTTGAAAGTAATTGCATCTCGGCTCTTCATGAATAATCTAATTTGTTTTATTTTTACGAAAACAGTACACAAAATACAAGAGTAATTTTTTGTAGCAAATTGAAGGTGAAATTCGAAAAAAGCGCATTTAAAAAAAGTGGCGAACTATTTTTATTTAGAAAAATAATGCCACTAATCCCCTCTATCTCCGCCACTGGTGCACGATAATTTTAAGTAAAGACTTTGGATCTGTGGATAATACATAGGTGAATCCACATACCAAATTTTAGTTCATTCCAGTTGATGGCTTTGAGAATACTAAAAAATATTGTTTTTTATTTTTAAACATCATCATTAAAAAGATACAGGGGGGGGTAACTTTTTAATGGGCCCTCGAGAAAAAATGTTACATAGAAGACCCCCCTAATGCGATCCTATGTATGATGTTTCATTTTTGGTCACCACTTGTGAATCACCCTGTATAAACCTACTTTTATAGTATCATCATATCAAAATGCAATGTTGTATTTTCATATGGCGCTGACGGTACTGGTTACGGATGAAACATGAATATTCTTTAAATAACGTTATGGAGAGAAGTAATTAAATTCCCAGAAAGACAAATGGCATGAAATCAAATACTTTGTGCTAAAATGAGCATATGTTAGTGACGTAACGAATGTCAATTTTTTCAGGCATTCGCGAAAGAGAATGCGAATATTCAGTTTTTCTCTTTTATACACCACGTCGACATAGGCTCGAAGGAGAGAACCCTTCGAAGCGTTTATTTTTGAAGTTTGGTCCCCTGCTCCAGTTTGATTATCAATTCGTTATTGAAAAATATATAGGAACAAAAGAAAATATCTTTTTAGTTTGTTTGTCTGACAAGAGTATAAGATGTATCCCAATAAGTTGGCACAAAGTGGCATCTGTTCCATCAAGATTCTAGATGAGACCAAGCCTACACCATGCTGATGAGCTGTCAGATAGCACAAAACACCTGACCATGTTTGGTCGTCTGTGGTGAGACGAACGGAATTCTAGATAGTAGAACGGAGTATTCTCATTCTAAACACAGTCGCATTTTTGATTACATCGAAAACATGATGCACCTCCTTTGTTGATCGAACATTTGAAGTTTTCATTGAAAATATATCATTTAAGTCCACCCCTTCAAAAAAATAGCCAGTGCGACTTTTTATTCCAGATGCAGATAGAACGTAACCGTACAATCTATGTCAAACTGTCAACATCATAGAAAAACGACAGCCTAACTTCCATGACAGAAGTAATTTATTGAGTCACAAATTTAGCGTAAAAATGTACGATTTTGTTTTCAGAATCCTCTAGATTAACAAAATTTTCAATCTCTATATTTTCTTTCAAACGTTTACAAAAAAATTATCTCGCCTACTTTGAAATGCTAAGTTTCCCGAAAATGGTACATCGGTATCTGTAGCCAGTCCAACAACTCACTTTCAAAATTTCCAAAATTTTATTTTCTTACTATTTCCAACATTTCCAACATTTTCATAATATTCAAAACTTTTAGGATGTTCTCAATTCAAATTCTCAATTTTGAAAAATTCTCTTTTCAAAATTATAAAATATAGCAGTCTTCAATACTTCCAAAATTACACAGATAAGAAGTGCAAACATTAAATCACTTGAGCGTCTCTCATGGGTGCAATAGTTTGTTTAAAATCTGAGGGTCACTGAGGCATAGAATGTGAACTACAAGTAAACCCGAGCGAAAAACCCTTAATTGAATCACATGTTCCCACGAAATCTCTTCATACAACCCAAGAGCTAATCCCGGTTAGGAAGTCGGATTGTGTCATTAGCAGAGCTGAACTTCCTAGTGAAATTCTCGTATTTCTCATTAAACTATCTAGCCAGTGAGTGCATGCATATTTCATCTGGTTATCCATTAATCCTGGACTCCGCTGCATTAGAATATGTGAATTATGCATCTTCAAAAACTAGTCACTTCACACATTAAATAATCAAATTAGGATATTGCAACATAAGGACGTCTTTTACTGACCGCACAGCTACGAGTATTGTGGTACAAAAAGTACTTATCTAAACATGCTAATTCTTTGATATCTCGCACCTTAGACACTATTGAATCGATTTTGGTAGTCTTTTGCACGATAACCTAAGAGCCACAAAAACTAGATGGATGGTTAAAAATCCAGGGTCGAACTCGATTCTTTGTTTTTTATCAAAATCAAATCTGTTAGTCTGAATATGAATAAAAAACGGCAATGAATGGTGCTAATTAATTAACGAAATTTACTGTGACTCTTCTATTTTTTTTTCAGCTAAACACTTATTTTTTCGAATATCTTATTTTTAGCAATTTATGTGAAGAAAAGCTTAAAATTTCAATTCAGTTACATCAACACTTAAGAAAAACTGAACCTAAAACTCGGCTCATACTACCTACCAGTCCACTATAAACATTTAAGTACAGAACACCCTGAGCTGAGCATTTGTACGACAGCAAATATGAAAGTTAAGCTTAGGCTTTACTGAGCCAATGCTAAGTAAAGCTTAGGTTGAACTAGTCATTGTACATAGTAGTCGGCTATAAGTAAGTACACTGCAGTGTTTTTCTTCGTTTAATTTTTAACGACAATATAGAGCATAGAGACGCCTATGTCCATGACAGTATCGAACCAACTAGGTCACGTTTACATTTATAAATAAAATATCTGGTATAAAAGGGAATCAAAAGCCTCAATTATGGTTAGTGCTATTTTATCTGGCTGAATATAGCACACTAAAATGATTGGAATAATTTGATTTACACTTCCATTTTTTGTGATAACCTCAGGGTTTCATTAATCAATAATCATAAAATTGAGTGATAGTTATCGGTAAATTTGAGGACGATGATTACAATAAAGATGAGGAGCTAATCTTTAATTGATGTATCAGCAAGAAAAATATGTGTAATTTCTGCTTACATTTGTTTTTTAAATGAAATGGTCAAAACAATCTTTCATGTTTGCACGACAGAATTGATATCCACCCGCAAATAAATGGAATTCAAAACGAATTAATTACTGCATACTCATTGCCATCGGTCTGTCTGTTGGCCCTAAACATTGAAAAAATGTCCAGTCTGAGAGCACGTTAGAAAATATTTCACTTTGTTCAACCCTTTTAACGATACTTATTCTTGTTAATATAGACTGTACAGGTTCTCTGTACTCCAATTGTCTGTATTCGACGACATCGACATCAATCGTATCTTTCTCTTTGTCTTTGGAGAAAAATGAAGCTAAATTGAATTTCTGGCTCGAGAAACTCCCCCTTTTATCTTTAACCTGAATTCGCCAGTACAATGAATGCTATAAAGTTTTCTCCTGACATATCAATTGGATCTTGATGCTACAGATAACTTTATCCTTAAATAAGGACCTCCGACCGACGGGATCTTGATATCTTATGAACGTCCGTTTAAATGTTCCACATATCTTGTAGAAAATGAGGCCGTACGCGTATACCTATGAAAATAACGATGATGATCGGCTCAAGAAATAAATTGTCCATTCTTGCAATTTTCTATATATCACTAAGATGTGATTGGAAAAGCTTCAATGATAATAATAGAGCAGATAATGCATCTAAAAATAAACATGAGAAGTTCACTCGGAGATAGGTCCCAAAATACCCCCTTATCACGATAGATAGTGAAGGTGTATTACGCAATCAAGAAAAGAGATACATTTTCGAACGTAATACTAACAGTCGACTCAAAACTTTGTAAATATAGTATGCACAGTATATTTGAGATATACAAATATATTCTTATTTGAAACATGTACTGCTCCTCTAAATAGGACTTGATATTGAACGAATTATCTCTCTTTTTTATACCTCAGCCACTACGCAGTGCCAGTATCTAAATATTCGTGGATACCGGCGGACTACAGGTATATGTCGACACAGGGTAGGGGGGGTTGCCCTGACTCTCGCGGGGAAACACGTGTGAATGTGACACATACACATTATGGCCCCTCTTGAGATCCTTCTGGTGATATCTCCACGCTCGATGGTCTAAGACCGTCTACCACCACGATCTCAATATCCATAGCTAACAGAAAAATTCTCTTGGGACGGGATTTGAACTCGTTCACAAACACTTTGTTTTCTTTGTGCAATATACGAGCGAAACAGCTGCAAAGACAAGCCATGTACTTTATACCTGTGCAGTTTGAAAAGTACTAGATAACGAGGACAACGCAACGTAAGTAGCGTGCGGAGTATGTGGCGCTATTGTTTTGCTACGAATTTTTAACTTTCCCTCCTTATACTTTAAGAACCATCAAGATGTCGAAAACACGTAACAAATCTTTTTTGTGGCAAATTTTATTCTCTGCAAAGAAGATAGTAGTGTTTTGTACCCCTATATTCTTAGTCTAGCCATTGAAAGCAAAATTATCCTTACATATATTTTTACCCTTTTAATCTCTCGAAAGCTGTTTTTATAAAAGCAAAATAATAAAGAGTTTAATTCTCTACAAAATTGTGTCTATCGCTTTTTTAAAAGGAGTCGATGTTCTTTGAGATTTACAATCAAACGCGCTTATATAATGGCGGCAAATGCTTCAGCACTAACATGACCCGAATTTGAACTTATCAATAGGAAGCAATAATTAACGATATTATGAAAAAAATGCTACTTTTGAAATTGTTGGAAAATCTTCCTATTTCCCGGGCTGTTGAAAAAAATGGTTAAAAAATTGGAGCCCAAATTCCGAGGTGTTTTTATTAAAGGTAATCGCTTACAACTCAGTGCTTTTCTGGACAAATGAAACCACATATGTTTGAATTACTTTTTACTAGCGTTTCGGTCACGGTGATGGCCTTTTTCAGAGTACAAACTAATTTGTATCGTAATGGCAGAAACGCCAGTAAAAAGTAACTCACACATATGTGGTTTTATTCATGGAGTTCGATCAGCATGAAAACATTTCCGTTAAATACCTTCTTTTTTCCCAAATCAGTCCTATCAGTGATCATATCTTGACAAGATGATGTTTGGATGAACTATTTTTTACATTGGGACGTACTTCCTCCTCTAGAAATATTGTCACCCAACATGCCCGCTGGTTATTTTCTCAAAACTTTATATTTTATTGTATGTAGATCTCACCCTCGTACACATTTCCGTGAAGAAAACTTTACACGTAGTTCGAGAAACTTTATTATTAGATTGAATTCAACCATAAAATTGTAAGTCTCCGAAGCGCTCTTAGATGCTAGTTTATGCTGGTATTCATAGTAACAAGCAAGTTCTTTCATAGAAATCCATTTATTTCATAGCTGTGGAACTTATCGGGTATATTCTGATATTAAAATTTTTGCATACGAAACCCTCCTGTGTCCAGTATTTGAGGAAACATAGTCAAATCCTCAGCAGTTAGGTAACATTAGGTCCCTTGCATTTGTTTTGCAGAAACCTAGACTTGCTATACCATCAACAAAACTAAGCTATGGTAAAGGATGGCGATACCACCAAGCGGTATCCCCTTTTATTAACCATAAAACCTCAACGCTGTCTCGGAATGGATATGCATTAATAAGTTACCTGGGCAGTCACAGAACTGCTTAGCTGTCCCGTCTTCCTGTTCACATCTCACACCTACTACAATTACTCTAGTATACTTCCTAAACTCAAGCTTAAGTCGCAAAGACTCACAGCATTCTGTCTACAGATGTAATAAGGAATTCTATGTACTGTGGCAGCAAAATGGAAGAACTTTGTGGATGTGCTGTGGCGACGCTATCTGATGGCAGAAATAAGAACCATCACGTTGGGTCAGCAGAAATCGTCACGCTGTCGCCAGCGCCATCTCCTAATAGCAGGAACAAATATTTGTAGTGTCATATATTCGCGACCACTATATCTACAACTAAGTAACCTTGGACGAATTTTCTAAAGGAGGTCATACACTGGTGTATCGGAATAAGGTGGTTCAGTCCGTCGGGAGGAGCAGTCGAGGCAAGTCTGAAGTGCATTCCACTCAGTTTGTTTTAAATTAGTGATATGATTTTATAAATTATTGTGATAAGGAGTAATGAATTAGCCTAAACTGGATATTATATGAATATACACATAGAACGCCATTTCTCGTTTGCTTCGCGAATACTTTGTATCCTGATTGCGTAAAGTGTCATGCGTCATGGCGATACGATATCCATCTGTACATAGTACACACATCTAGCAGCCAGAAGGGCTCTTTCTGCTTTTTCAATATATCGGTTGATAATGAAATCAGCTTGGCGGTAGCGATCGCCAAATTTCTCACCTATTTTATTCTTTAAGCATCAAAAACAGCAAATTTCTTCACTATGCATGATACATATATATATACTGCAATTTTGCCTATTGACGATGTGTCTAATTAACAACGATTTGGACTTACCCTTCAATTCATTTTTCCTTTACCAATTCTAACCATTACCAAAAATTTAGGGTTATGGTTGGACGAAGAATTAAAAAAATTTAATTCCGAATTTAAGAATATGTTCAAAGTCCTACAGTATTCTCAAGAAAATATATCCTCAAAGAGATATATCGAACGGTAAACTGAAAATGCTAGTGTGCTTTATCTTTATCTTTATTAACCACTTAGATACAGAATAGTACATGTGGTGAATATATATATATGTATATATATTATATGTATATATATATATGCTACATAATATAAATAAAATGTATAAAACTATAAGTAAAAAAAATATAAATATAACAATACATATAAATGTTCAATTCCATCTTTAAGTACTCAAGGTTGTACATTCCATATATTCACTTACTATATGTTATAAATTGCATTTGATGCTAATAATCTTTTAACTTGGTTTTTAAATCGAAAATAATTACTATTTCAGGTGGTAATTTATTGTATAATTCGATGCAGTTATATTATAGTAGGGTGATTTATTGAAATGTGTCATGGTGTGTGTATGGATGATCTTTAAATTTTGATTTCTAGTATTATAATTATGATGAGCATTAATATTTGGGAACAACTTATTAAACTTCTTAACGTAAGTTACACTTCTCAAAATATAAATACAGTGTAATGTAAGAATTTCTCTTGATTTGAAAATTTCTCTGCAGGCTTCATCCGAAAATTAATCTGATGATACTTTTTTAGGGAAACAAATATTCTATTAATTTGGGAAGATTTCCCCCATATTATAATGTTATAAGACATATGGCTATAGGCCAGCCCATAATATACATTAATGGCAGCTTTTTCTTTAGGACATCTTTAAGTGAGAATATAGTTTGCAATCAAAACATGTACCAAGTAATTTACAAGAATCCGATAAAATAAGACCATACAGAGTCAAGTCAAAATCAACCGTACATTGGATGTTAAAATTGATACCAACAGACTTATTACAATTTAAGATTAACCGATTTCTTTGACACCTAGCAGAGAATTATATTCATCGGATACACTTTTAATTTTAATTTGAAAAACTGCGCAAGTCTGTATGGTCCAGCTATAATAAAAAGTGATAAAGACACGTTACAATGGCTTGTTTAGGATGTTTCTCTAGGTATGCCTTGTGGACAGAAAGAATTATTGTAAAAACTTGAATATTAACCAGAATATCTTTCAAATACACTCAACAAATTCGAAAGCATCAATAAGTTGGCTACCAAAAATTAATTGACAATTATTAGTTACATCTAAACACTAGATGTCTCTCTATAAAAAGAGTTTCTATTATACTGCTGCCAATTTATTCAATAATATTCCATTTGAATATTTAAATTACACTATGAATGATTTTAAAAAGAAGCTGAAGCCGTGGATACTCACAGGACCTGATTAATCTCTGTCCCCCAATCTACTTGAATAGTTTTGACATAAATTGGTCACATATCAGATCTCTACCTACTTGTACTAAAAACATATGAATTTAGCAATAGATCGCCGATTAAATTATTATTTTTGAGCCGTTAGGAAACCTTAATTTCATATTAATTAAATATATTAGAATGTACGGTTGAGTTGAAAAGTACCATCATTTACGACTATTGTTGGTGACTTCGAAGTTGAGTCATTTATTTTAACAGTGAGTAGATCTGATCAAAAGAAATGTTTTTTTCCTTTAAAATTTTTCTGGCAAAATTAAATTAACAAAGTTATAGCCCTTTAGAAGTTTGAGTACTGCCCTGTCTCAATAATAATATTATGTGCTCGTGTTTGGCAACAACGAATATAGTCCGCCTTATCGGATCATCGCATCGGAAACAAAAAAGCGAAAGAATTTGAAACGTTTATCACGATGTCAGTCAATGTGTCAGTCGGTAACGCGTGAGTGAATAGTGGTGTTCGTTGCATGGCTCAAACGAAATAAAAAAATGGCATATGTTTAAGAAAATGCTGAACTTGTGGACATGATTCTTATTTACGGGGGGGGAGTCTTTACAAAATGCTGCCGCGGCATCACGGATTTATGCGACTCGGTTTCCCAATCGAGTGCAACCAACCCCTCGTGCCTTTGTTAATGTAGTACAAAGGACTCGTGAATCAGGTGACTTAAGACCTCACAGGGGAGAGCTTGCCGGTGCTCCAAGACCGCACGATCAAATACAGTTCCGGACTGAAATACTTGTCGGGAGGATACATTATAAAACAAGGTAACATTTTTTTTTAATTTTTTTTTTATTTTTACACACATATTTTGGTTTATCTTCCTTCTACAATCATTATCTGAAAATTAATGACTCAACTTCAAAGTCTAATGTAAAAGAATCGAAAAAAATGATATTATTATTATTTAGTGCATACGTGTTTTCGTTAAACCCTTTTAACATAGATGCTATAGCTATAGATAGGCAGAATACAAAGGGGCTAATAAGCCACCATTCTGATTTAAGCAGCCCTTCTTGACAGTCCATCCGTTATGATATTGCCCCTAGATCATGGCGCGCTTGAAACGACGCAATACTCATATTGTTGCTGGTGCAGCCATCCTCAAGTGCCTCAAACCCTCTAGAAAATATGTAGCGCTCATGGCTACTATGACATAATCACGTAACATATGTATCGGCAATAATAATAATTAGTCCATGATCCGACAGAATGGCTCTAAACAGAAATTATTCCAATTATAAACATATCCCATTAACCACTCACTGCTATGCGGCAGGCATGAGCTACGTTTTTGTCGATATGAGGAATCGAGATCACGTAACGCGCATCCGTCTTATTCTGCAGAGTGTTGCGGTAACCAGCAGCTTACTTTCACCAAAAAGCTGACAGAAAGTACAATTTCTATGACATTCATACGATATCCAGTACAGAAGGGTTTTTTGGGTCGTTGATTTCAAGTCCGGAGTTGGTTTGTCTTTGTGGGCACACTTGAAGGTCATGTCAAGGACACTTTCAAGCCAATCCGAGCAGTTCATCTCAACCATATTTTGTTTAGGCTATTCTGTATGAAAAACAGTGATAATTGGTAAACAGCTGTACTAAGCCATATACCAAGGGTGGTTACGAGGGATGTATTTTAAGTTTTGCATATAGAAACATAGTAGGCCGCGCCGATCAAACGATTCAACCGTGGACGGGTGAGTCTTACCGACGATCCCAGGGTGGGTGCACCAAAAACAGCAGTCACCCAGGAAAACGTCGATGCTGTGCGCAAACTCATCATTGAAGATAGACATTTTGGTTCTGCCAGCAAACGAGTGGAATTAGTTCTTCGAAAATTGGTTCGAGCGCATGCAGATGTGTATTAATCTTCGTGGAGAATACTTCAGAAAACAATAAAGTCATTTAAAACTACCTACCGTGTTGTTTTATTTCCATATGCAAAACTTAAAAGACATCCCTCGTACAGAGACATCTGAACAGAACGATGCGATCCAAGCATTTGGCCGTAATTATACCATGCACCTCTACAGAAGATGTTAAAGTGGGGACAAAGGCAGAATTGGCTTTTGGTATATCACTCTGTGAAGAATGTCGACTGGGATGCCCCCAGCAAAATATCATAAGTCTAATTGAGATCCGTGATTAGTGCGTTGTCAAGTGGTAAACATGATTTTTGGCATATGAAAAATTCAACAATATTTTATTCTTCAAAAGTAGGCATTCTTTCAAAAAAATAAGATTTATAGAAGGTGCTAGTAATCGCATAAGCTGTCTACATAAAATACTGAGTTAATGCTTGTCTGATTTAAGATCACTGAAGACGTCAGTTTTGCGTTCCAAAAATTATTAATAAACTTGTAAGAAGTACGAAGAGAGAGAGACGTACGGAGCTCAAGGCGTTGTATGACTTTGCAGATCTCAAAGAGAAGAGTAAGCATGTAGTTTTTGGAACGAACTTTGTTTATTCCTACAGTTCAATACAAGCAGATTTCTAGTTTACTTAGAAAATATTGTAGTTCATACACGACAAGAGGATAATAGCCTGGTGATTGTAGATGTATGAGTGTTGTTCTGGCGAACCCTTGCTGTTGGTTAGATCTTCACAATAAGAGATTGATATTGTACTGTAATACCAGCTATAAACAGTCAACAAATATTCAGGAAAATCATCAGCCGTACTGGCAATAATTGTCTGTGTTCAGCATGCGCATGAGTTATCCACTATCTCGTGTAATTGGTATACTGGCTGTTTATTCAATGTCCAATAATTCATCTGACGTTGAATCGATAAATCACAACCC